GGGAAAAAGAGAGCAGTCTAAAAGCACAAGAGCCAGATGAAAAGAAAGGTTATAGTAAAGCCGGTTCATTTTACCTAATTGATTTAAAGATGGAATGCTTTGCTTCAGTCGAAATGTGCAACTGAGAGAGCGAAAGAAGGAAGAGCGGACAGAGGTCAGCTGCTATCTCCTGATCATCAGCTGACAGAGTGAGGAAAAATAAGGGAGAAAAGAGGAGATAGAAAGCATGGAAAAAGTGTGGGAGGGAAAGGCCACGCAGTAGTGCCTGTCTTTTTTTACAGTACCTCGATTCTGAGAACCACAGAGAGCGTATTCAGATGATTCCTAATAAGGCTGTAACTCGACGCTCTTTCTCCTGTTGTCGCCTGCCAGAAAACGTTCCCCTCTTTTTCCCCTCTCCTCCAAACAAGAGAACTAGAAACAAACAGAAACCGAACAGCCTAACTTTGTAGGGGATAAAGCAGGGGATGAATTACAGGGAGTTTGACCCCCTTAATTAAGACTTAAACACAAATCAAAAGATTTGTGTGGGATCTAAAGGTAAATATTCATATTCAAGGTACAAGTCAGGTACAAGTTAATTCTACATATTTCATAAGGAACATTTTAACAGCATTCTCAAAAATCAAAAGTTAGCTTACTAGTTAAATGCTCAAGAGTTTTCTGTTAGGACATCAGGTGCTGTAATTATTTATAGACTTACATTTAAGTTGGTGTATGCAGGGCTCGAATTGAGGGGGGATGGCATCCCCTCTTGTTGAAAAAAAAGACAAAAATCATCCCCTCTGTAAAACCACCATCCCCTTTAGATTAATAATGCTGTGTATTATTAAGTAAAACTTATCGTGCAAATTAAATACTGTATTAATATTCTGTATGTATAATAACTTATAAACTAAATAATGGCAATTGGCCAATCAGAGCTCAGCGTTAACAAGCTCAGTCATTTTTCGCACAAAATGTTTCAAGTTTCAACGTCTGCCGTTCTTTAAGAAGACAATGTAATATGGTATGATATTTCCTTGATTATAGTTTAAAGACATTCCCCTGACATAATGTTATTGTGCTGTACTATGTGTGACTGTGAGGACGAGGGATGCGTTTATTCAGAAATGATCACCAGGCCTGTTATAATTCACGCTAGCTGACATTATCAAGTATGTCAGTGACTACAAAAACAAAAGAAAACTTGAATCCAAAAGCATTCAATGCATGATGAAGCCTATTAGAATGCAGTTAGAATGCCTCTATAATTCAAATAATGAAAGAAAAATATGAGTTTTTATTTTTTTATCTTTATATGATGTAGTTAAGTAATATCACTCAAGAATCAGCACGTGTGCGTGATTGCAAATGTTAGAGTAATTTTATACAGCAGTTCAGCAGACAAGAAGTTAATTGAGTGTTACATTTTAGACACATTTTGTCTTTTTTCCTGTTTTGCAAATGAAATAGTTCCAAACAAAGTTGTTGTGCATCTCATAGGAACACTGCGGTGTATCTTTCCTGAATTAATTTGTTTTTGAACGAATCGAGTGAGCCAATTATTCAATGATCCTTTCATAAAGACCGTCAACTTGCTTCGATTCTAATTGAATCAGCCATTTTGAAAGAATAGTTTGATTGAAGGACTCAATGAATCATTCATTAAAACAGACACTTGCCGCCATATACTGGTGGTTTTAGTGTTATATTTATTTATCCGTGACAAGCCTAAACCAGCACAAAAACACACACTGCAAAATATTAATTATCGTTATTGACAACCCCCCCCCAATATTATATTTTTTTTGTCAGTATTGCACACCTAAATAAGGGGCATCATTTAGGTCATTTGACACACAGGCTGCACAAGGAAAACAGCTCATAAACCATAGTTCATTTAATAAAGCTTATTTTTTGATAAATAAAAATGTGTGTAAAAATTTGACAAATTTTGTAATCATTTGTAATCACAGGACCCTCCACCCACCATCCACCTTGAAAGTTTTTTACATTTCGACCACTGGGTGTATGTCACTACTTATTTCATTGCTTAACTGTGCCAGGGTGCCCAAAGACCCCCCCTGAAGGGCACCATATAATTTGCTGGACTAAGGGATAGTTCATCTGAAATTTACTCACCCTCACGACTGACTTCTGTGGAACATAAAAGGAGATATTTTGAGAATTTGAGATTGAATTTAAGACGTCATCAGCTGTAGAATAAATCATATTCAGAGATGGGAACCAAGAAGAATGTAACAGCTCTGATTCATATTCATCTTAACTTTTCCAGTTGCTTAACAGTTCTGTTAACAATTCTTTAAATACTTTATTTGGAAAAAGGAAAGATGGTTTCTCAGTTTCAAACCCAAAATATCTTACGTATGTTACAAAGGAAACTGAATAAACATGAAAGTGCCATTTTCCTCCTGTCAATCTAGCGGTAGTACTGTGAATTTTGAGCATTTCCCCTGCTGGTCTGAGGAGTATATTTGTATACAGCTGCTTATTACGCGGCTCTGTGGAATACTTGATTCTGATTGGTCAATCGCGCCATCCAGCGGTATGTTATTCCCAGATAACAACTGCCAAATTGAATAACACAGAGTACTACGAGTTATCTTGACGGTACAACTTGTATGCTTAACGAGTCACTCCGCTATCGTTGACTGTCTGGCGCCATCTTGTGACTGAAAACACTTAACCACCGCGTGTTACAACGGAAGACTTCAGCATTAATTTCAACATATATGGTAAAAACAAATCTTTTTAGCCATGTAATAAGCGGGATAATGTACATCCAGTCATTTGTTATCTCAGAATAAACCCCTTCAGGCTGATACAAGTCCTGATCACCCTGTCTGGGTTTATTCTAAGATAACAACTGACTGGGTGTACATTATCCCTTACTTAATTGCTGATTTAAAGATTTTGAATGAGAGCTGCCCATTAGGTTTGGTAGCTGGCCATAGATCTCATGAGTTTAATTGGAAAATTGGTATTGTTACTTACGGTATCTCTCTTATTCAGGAGAGATTGGCTGGTGAATGACTATCATGGCTCAGGTGCTTCATATGGACTCCAGTTTTCCAGGTAAAATCCCACTTTGCATTAGGATACTATACATACTGTAATGTGTATATATTGTGATTGTTATCCTTTCCCCAGTTCATCTGCTCTTAAGAGACTAAGTATTAAAGTGAAGGCTTGTTCTAGTCATAGCCTGAAGTTTATTATTTCCCCTGTTGACCAATTCCGAGATTAGACAGAGATTTCCTGCAGTTTAAAGTTGTTTCCTCTCTCCTTAGGGAAGATTAACCCCCCAGAGCCCCCCTCCTTGCATCGAAAGGACCCAGAGGCTCCATACTCAGTAGAGACCCCCTATGGCTACCGTCTGGACCTGGACTTCCTCAAGTATGTCAATGATATTGAAAAGGGCAACACTATTAAGAAGGTGCCAGTGCAGCGGCGCCCACGTTATGGCTCGCTTCCACGTGGCTATGGCTACACGGGCTCCTGGTGGACCTCCACTGAGTCGCTGTGCTCCAACGCCAGCATAGACAGCCGTCACTCATCGTACTCCTACTGTGCGCCGGGATTTCACAGCTCACAGCGACCCAGCTTCAGTACGGCACGTGTGGAGAAGACCTTGCTGGATGCTCGCCGCAAGCTGGAGGAGGAGAAGGATGGCCGTCGTTTCTCAAACCTGGGTAGCATGCACAGTAGCGTGGCGGGCTCCAACACCTCCCTGTCCAGTGCCCACAGCTTCAATCGTGCCCAGGGTGGTGGCTCCTACACGACAGTGAGCTCCGGCTTGTCCACACCTGTCTCACCGACGCCCGCCCATCTGCAGCACGTACGGGAGCAAATGGCCGTTGCCCTGCGGAAGATCCGGGATCTGGAGGAGCAGGTGAAGACCATCCCGGTGCTGCAAGTGAAGATCTCCGTGCTTCAGGAGGAGAAGAGGCAGCTTAGCGTGCAACTCAAGAGCCAGAAGTTCCTGGGCCACACACTGGGGTTCAGTCGGAGCCGTCCACGAGGAGAGCTCTATATCGACATACCCGAAGAGGAGACGGGAAACAGGACAGGTGCCGCGAATAGAGCCGCAGGAAGTCTTTCACCTACCACTCCGGGTTCCCTTCAGGACTCAGGATGTGAAATCGAGGAGACTGTAATTGTCAGTGGAGCTCGTCCAGGTGCAAAGCGGGAGGTGCGAACTGTCGGTGTAGGGCCTGAGGTGGAAGAAAGGGCTTGCCGTCAAGTCGGAGTAGGGGTGCGAGAAGAGGACTTGGGGCTGCTGCCTGAAACCGAAGCCCTCAAGACTAAGGTGGGGCTTTTAGAAGTTCAGCTGAGGAAAATGATGCAGGAGCTACAGAGCGCTCAGCAGCAAGTCGAAGCAGCTCAGAGAGAGAGGCAAGCTCTTTCCCCTCAGGTAGACCATGCGGTGAGAGCCACCAGTCTCGGCTGGAAGGAGCAGCAGGGTCAGGCTGGTGTGGGCCTGCACACAGTTGTCAGTTTTGCTCAGCAGCCTCATCAGCAGAGGACCGTGGGGATCCAAGTGTACACACTGGAGCAGACCACTGTGGTGGGTGTGGGGACACTGCTAAGAGCCCAGGGTTGCACTTCTCCCAATCAGCCTGTGTCTGCACAGGAAGGACCCCACAGAATACATGCAGAGTCCCCAGCTGCAGAGGGTGTGTATATCTGTCGCTATTTACTCACCTACATGTTGTTTCAAACCTGAACTATTTTCCGTGGAACATGAAAGGAGGCAGAATTTTTTTCAGTACAATAAAAGTGAAAGGGGAAAAACAATGTTCACTTGTGAAATTACAAAGAAAGTATCAAAGAAGCACCATAAAAGTGGTCCATGCCCCATTTTAGTATTCTGACACCACATGTTAGCTTTGTATGAGCAACAGACTGAAATTTAAGTCATTATTCACTCCAAAATCTCCCAATTCTCCTAATTCTAACCCAACTTCTACATTTGTATATTCATGTGTACACATGAATTTACACATGTATATTCAAATATGCTGTGGGAAGACTCAATGTGCCAAGCTTAAAGGCCATGGAGGCAATTGCCTGTTTGAATATGCAAAATAATCTGGTCTGTTCATTACTTAAAGGTGTTGTATACATTTTGAAATAAAGCGCATAAGAGGTGGTCACACTTTTCGTTCCATTGACTTCAGTGTGGGAAACTGGAAACACGAGCTGAGGCGAATTTCATTGTGTTGCAAAGTTCAAGTTTGGTGAACTCTTACCTGTAATGTCGTATTATGTGAATACATGTGACCAGTAGACCAGAAGATTAATACATCACAGCTTTACCTTTTATCTGAATTGCTGAACACAAACTTTAAAGGTGCAGGTTTGCAGTAAAGTGAAGAATATTGCATAATTTTACATTTTGGATTATTATTTGTTAAATGTTGAATTTATGTTTTTTTTTTTTTAATCACTACAGAGAGTGACATCTTATCTTGTCCATTGCAGTGTACACAGAAGTGTAGTGTGACTGCCCTCAAGACATATGGTCTACTTTTATGGTGCTGTTTTTACTGTTTTTGGAGTTATTTCTGCTCCTATTCCCTTTTACTGTGTTGAAAATAGTTAAAAAAAAAAAAAAAAAAGTTTTTTCCTTTTGTGTTGAAGTCGAACCAACATTACGGTGTCCAAAAAGACAAACTCCACATTTTTGGATGAACTATCTCTTTAAAATTATTTTAGTATTTGTGCTTAATTTCTCTTTTGTCCTCAGAATCGCCGCTTGAGTTTCCCATTGCAATAAGCTCTAAGCAGGTGCGGGAGGTCTTGAAAAGTGAAGTGTCCAAATCAGTGCCTGTGATCAACCAGGCAACTGCTATGGAGACAAAATGCAGCCAAGTGGCTGCCGTCTGCCAACGGTTAAAAGAGGGTGAGATTAACCAGAAACAAGCAGAAGAAGCCACCCAAATCGATCCAGCAAAACCAGGTTTGATATGTTGTCTTTTAGTAACTGGTGATGATGACAATGAATCAGACATCTTCCATGTATTCCAACTAGTAATTCTCACACTGGCTACTGTGTTTGTATTGTCCAGCCTCTCCTCAGTCCACCCTGAGGTCAATAATGAAACGAAAGGCTGATGGGGAACCTGGCTCTCCGTACACCAAAAAGAACCTGCAGTTCATAGAAGTCAATGGAGGGTAAATACAGAATTATGTTAATTAATTAAATTATGTGTTGCAGATATTTGATTCAACAATATTATCATTGAGCTACTATGTATTTTTCTTTTAGGATAACTGATATTGCTAAAACAATTTGGTTAAGGGTGTCTTTTTGGTTTTTGGAAACTATGGGCTTTAAGAAATTTGATATTAAATTGAAAACCAGAGTGTCCTTTGCACAAAACTATTATTTTACTGCCTAGCAACATTTGTGTTTCCTTAAGGAACTGCATATCTAGTTTAGATTATCCATTTCATTAGATCAGAGGGTTTATATGTTAAATAACAGCACTATTGTGACTTGCAGGTACGAGTCGACATCATCTGATGACAGCAGCTCGGAAAGTTCAGATGAGAGCGATGCAAGTGAATACCACGAGGCTACAGAGAAACTACCGGAATCTGCGGAGCAGCAGTCTCAGGTGATCTCCTGCAACCCCCAGCCCATCTGTGAGACAGCAGCTGCCCAAAGACCTCAGTACAGCACTGCCCAGCCACCAGCCAATCACACTGCACCACAGCAAAGCGCCAGCCAATCACAAGCTACTGATGCAGCTACCCAGCAACATGTCACCCAATCACCAGCAGCAGAGGCAGACATACAGCACTCTGTAAACCAATCATCAGTGACCACTATGGCTCATCCGGAAGGCATCGTTCAATTCACAGAGGCGAAATGTGTTTTCCAAGGGTATACCTCTCAAAGCACTGACGCGTCTCTTGAACAAGACTCTGTCCAGTTATCATACACCAGCACTACGGTGCACCAATCAAAATCCACCGATTCAAACGTCCAGCCAAATGTCACTCAGCCAGAGGTGTCCGGCCTTTCTGCTCAGCAGACAACCACTCATTCACAATCCACCGGTGCCAAACTTCAGCCAGATGTTAGCCAATCAAAAACCACTGACCTCACCACCCAACAAGGAGCAACACAGTCACAATCTACTGATGCCTCAGCAAAACAGGACATAGCCATATCCTCCGCCACGGATCCAGCCGCTGATACAAGCACCACCCCCACTAACAAACAAACAAGCAGGTAGGTTGACTCAAATCAGTAACACAAGCTATTATGAGATTCACTTTTGATTATGTAAGTTGGCTGTAAATGCTGAGTGACGAGCATTTTCTCTTTCTTTCCAGACTGGAATTGAGTGGCAGCCTCATGGTGGCTCTCCACACCTTGCAGAAGGCACTCAGTGAACCAAATGCATTTAGCCATCAAAATGCAGTATGTTCATCAGTTGCATTCTTATTCATATAAATGATAGATACAGGGATTAAAGTTCCATCGCTACGACGGATTTCCATCAGTTCATAAAGACAGTCACTTGCTTCATTCCTGAATGATTCAGCCGTTCGAACGAATCAATTGAATGAATGATTCAGTGATAAAATCAGTGACTTGCCGCCACCTGCTGGTGGATTTAGTTTCATTTTTAGCATATAATTTCAGTTATTTGAATCATATTTTTGTATTCAAAATGTTATATTTGAAACATTAATCTCCACATGAATTTATGACTTTAATTGCACTCATGCTACCTCTGAGCCTTATTAAATGTCTGAAAATGTATCTACAAGCCACTTTTGTGTTCTTCTGTGCCACCTCTGTAGTACAAATTAATTTATTAATACTAATTTCATATGATTGGTAACTTATTTGTCTTATTCTACTTCTTATTATATTGCAGGGGTTAAAGCAAAAAATTCCCCATTCCTCAGCCATACCTGTCACACACCCACTTTAAGAGCAGTTTTTTTCTTCTTGTAATTACGAACGCTTGTCCTCCTAATTAAAAAATTTAGGAGCACCTTCTGATCAATAATCAAACATTCTGATCAAAAATTAGCCTTCCTAGTACAAGGTGACATTTGACTCCTTAAAGTGATTTACAGGAGTATTTTCTTTTTACCTTTGTAATGGCATCATTTTCATCTGCCAAATTCAAAAATGTATGTTCATAACCTTTTTAAAATTTCTATTTGAAACAGTATGTAGAATAAGACAAATAAGTTACCAATCATATGAAATTAGGATTAATAAATTAATTTGTACTACAGAGGTGGCACAGAAGAACACAAAAGTGGCTTGTAGGTACATTTTCAGACGTTTAATGAGGCTCAGAGGTAGCATGAGTGCAATTAAATTCATAAATTCATGTGGAGATTAATGTTTTAAATATACAATTTTGAATACATAAATATGATTCAAATAACTGAAATTCTATGCAAAAAATTTAACTAATTGTGCCAGCAGGTGGCGGCAAGTCACTGAATTTATCACTGAATCATTCATTCAATTGATTAGTTCGAACGGCTGAATCATTCAGGAATAAAGCAAGTGACTGTCTTTATGAACTGACGGAAATCCGTCGTAGCGACGGAACTTTAATCCCTGTAGATAGCATAGTTCTTAACTTCAAGATATATTTAAGGTTGTTTTAAAAGTTAATTATATAATTATTTTGCTTAACAAAATTTGTATGTATTTGCATGGGGCCCTATGGGTTCTGTAATGCAGAAAACACAGACATCCAGCCAGACATTCCAAAAATATATAATTTACAGTATAACATGAATAAATAAAAAATAGGGCTGTACACTTATGTCATGATACAGACTAGTATCAGACTAGGCCTTCACGACAACTTCAAAATAAAAGTTTGGTTTCACTTGAAATTGTGATAGAAGTATATTACTATTGTACAGTAGAATGTACTTGTCAAAGCAATAGTAATAATAATAATGAAATCAATAAAACCTATTTTTTAAGAAATACAATTTTCCTCCATATTATTTTTGACAGTAAACCTATATTTTGACTTGTTTGTCAAAAATAAAAGGAATTGTTACATTTTCATACATTGACTGTTTTAAAAGATAAATTAAATATTAATATTAATGTTTTATGCCTTCATTTGGTTACCACCCTTTTTTGTTAATAAATTTGTATTAAATAATAAAACCAGAACAATTAAAACAGACAACACAGAATTTCTGAATTTCATAGGACCCTATCATTGTAAATAAAAAAGGAATAAATTATTAAATTGCCTAAGTTTTATTAATTAAATTAATAAGACACGCTTTTTGATTATTAAAATTTAATTAAACCAATAAATAGGACACCAGGAAAAAATCAAATGGAAAACACAGAAGAATTTGGGAAAATATAAGATGGATTTCATAGGGCCCTAGTATTTGCAGTGTCTTTGATTGCATCAGCCATGTCCATTGTTCCACTGATGCATTTAAAATAGAAAAATTAGGCACGCATCACTATTGTTATTGCCCATTTTACTATATTTCCCATCCAAAACTTTGCCATGCAACTCGTCCAGTACTACTTGTGCCTCAGGCATGAATAATACCTCAAATTAACTTTATAATCAGACAACTTTCTTACAATTTTCATATGGCAGACCAAATAATAGGTGGAAACTCAATTAGACTTGAATTGAATATATATATACAGTGGGGCAAAAAAGTATTTAGTCAGCCACCAATTGTGCAAGTTCTCCCACTTAAAAAGATGAGAGAGGCCTGTAATTTTCATCATAGGTATACCTCAACTAAGAGAGACAAAATGAGAAAAAAAAATCCAGAAAATCACATTGTAGGATTTTTCATATATACACATACTTGACCAGACTTGAGGTTGGGCTCTTTTGACTTGCAGCTACTCTCAATACTTTAGCAGCACCATAGCAACCACACAAAATACCCTAGCAACACCGTAGAAACCACAGCACCATAGAAAATACTGAGACATGTCGTTCCAGCTCCAACATTGTGGTGGCAAGTTGTGCAAGGACAAGTGCCACTCATATTTTATAAAGAGAAAATCATTTGGTGCTGCAAAAATGACTCGCCTTTTAAAACAGAGCTATTCAGTTATATTGATGATCTGCTAGTAAATGAGCATTATGTATTTATTGTAAAACATGATAGTAAAAGCCCGTTTCTATGTTCTCTTTTGTCGACAGAGGACAGCCTACACCACGGTTCTGCAGGAGTGGCTCAGAGTGTCCTGTCATAAGGCTGCTGACACTGCAGTAGTCAAAGCGTACATGGACACCTTTGCCTCCATTTCCCCCCAGCTACTTGAGTTTGTCATCAACATGGCTGACGGCAATGGAAACACAGCTCTGCACTACACTGTTTCTCACTCCAACTTTCCTGTAGTTAAGCTACTGCTGGATACTGGTGAGCGACACTCTTCACATTTCTGAGCAACACTCACTGCTGACACACTATTTTCGTAGGTGCAATCAAACGGCCTAGCGGGCACATGCACATGCGTTGACACATTAGATCATGTCTATTTCTATTGGTAAAATTACAAAAAGGGAATTCAGTGGGGAAAGGGAAATCCGTAGAATTCAGTACTTAAAGAATGTAACTAATATTCCATTATTAATATTTTAAAGTAAATTTTTAAGGCTGATTAACATTTGGGGTTGGTAAGATTTTTCAAATTTTTTTTTTTAAAGAAGTTGCCCGCTAAGGCTGCATTTATTTGATTAAAAAATACAGTAATATTGTAAAATATTATTACAATTTAAAACAACTGTTTTCTATTTTATTTTATTCTAATTTATTCCTGTGATGCAACACTGAATTTTCAGCATCATTACTCCAGTCTTCAGTGTCACATGATCCTTCAGAAATCATTCTGATATGCTGATTTGCTGCTCAATGTTGAAAACAGTTGTTCTGATTAATATTTTTTTTGTGTGTGTGTGGACACCATGATAATTTTTTTCAGGGTTCTTTGATGAATATGAAATTCAAAAAGAACAGCATTTATTTAAAATAGAAATCTTGTGTAACTTTATAAATGTTTTTACTGTCACTGTTGTTCAATTTATTGCATCTTTGCTGAATAAAAGATATTCATTCCTTTAAAAAAAATTACTGGGCCCAAACCTTTGAACAGTAGTGTATTTGTGGCAAAAAATATGTCAGTACGTTTTATTTAGCATGTGACAGAGCTATATCTGTCCCTCTTATTTATCAGCTGTCCTTGTTGTGTAGGTCTCTGTAATGCTGACAAGCAGAACAAGGCTGGTTACACAGCTATTATGTTGACAGCTCTTGCTGCCTTCAACTCTGACAGTGACCTTCAAACCGTCCTTCAGCTGCTCTGCACTGGCGAGGTCAATGCCAAAGCCAGCCAGGTGCTCCCCCTTCTGCTCCATCAGTATACTGCAGTATGTGTCAGTTAGTGTATTATACTGATGCCTGTGTGTGTGTTGTTGTAGGCGGGGCAGACGGCACTGATGCTAGCGGTCAGTCATGGCAGAGGGGACATGGTGAAAGCTCTGCTGTCCTGTGGAGCTCAGGTGAACCTGCGTGATGATGACGGCTCCACAGCGCTCATGTGTGCATGTGAGCATGGACACGTGGACATTGTGCGCCAGCTGCTGTCTGTGCCAGGCTGTGATGCTACGCTCACTGATAATGTGATTTATCTCTTTGTTTAGCAAGCATCTAAATCATATTTCCACCTTCATCTGTTAAATTCTGTCTTTCTTCTTTATCTCTGATTATTGTCATTTTTTCCAGTTTTGCATCAGAAAGGTATAGTTCAGCAAAAAATGAAAATCGTAATCATTTACTCACAGATATGTTGATAAACGTTGCGTCAATGCCAAAGCCAGCCAGGTGCTCCCCCTTCTGCTCCATCAGTATACTGCAGTATGTGTCAGTTAGTGTATTATACTGATTTCTGTGTGTGTGTTGTTGTAGGCGGGGCAGACGGCACTGATGCTTGCGGTCAGTCATGGCAGAGGGGACATGGTGAAAGCTCTGCTGTCCTGTGGAGCTCAGGTGAACCTGCGTGATGATGACGGCTCCACAGCGCTCATGTGTGCATGTGAGCATGGACACGTGGACATTGTGCGCCAGCTGCTGTCTGTGCCAGGCTGTGATGCTACGCTCACTGATAATGTGATTTATCTCTTTGTTTAGCAAGCATCTAAATCATATTTCCACCTTCATCTGTTAAATTCTGTCTTTCTTCTTTATCTCTGATTATTGTCATTTTTTCCAGTTTTGCATCGGAAAGGTATAGTTCAGCAAAAAATGAAAATCGTAATCATTTACTCACAGATATGTTGATAAACGTTGGTAACCAAACAGTTTCAGGTTCCATTGACTTTCATTGTATATAAATAAAAAAACTATGAAGTCAATGGGAACCAAAACCAAGTCAAGTCACCTTTATTTGTATAGTGCTTTATACAATACAGATTGTGTCAAAGCAGCTTTACAGTGATAAACAGAAAAATAGTGTGTTGATAATGTAGGAGGACAATAGTAAGCAGTCAATTTTTCAGTTAAAGTCAGTTCATTGAGAAAGGTATAGTTCAGCAAAAAATGAAAATCGTAATCATTTACTCACAGATATGTTGATAAACGTTGGTAACCAAACAGTTTCAGGTCCCATTGACTTTCATTGTATATAAATAAAAAAACTATGAAGTCAATGGGAACCAAAACCAAGTCAAGTCACCTTTATTTGTATAGTGCTTTATACAATACAGATTGTGTCAAAGCAGCTTTACAGTGATAAACAGAAAAATAGTGTGTTGATAATGTAGGAGGACAATAGTAAGCAGTCAATTTTTCAGTTAAAGTCAGTTCATTGTTGATTCAGTGTTGTCATCATCCAGCTCAGTTCAGTTCAAATAGTATCTGTGAAATCAAGTCGACAATATTGCCAGAAATTAAGTGTCCCTAACGAAACAAGCTAAAGGCGACAGTGACAAGGAACCAAAACTCCGTTGGTCACATAAATGGAGAAAAAACCTTGGGAGAAACCAGAGTCAGTCAGGGAGACAGTTCTCCTCTGGCCAGATGAAACCAGCAAGGCATGGGTTAATTCCAGGCTGCAACACGAGTCAGATTGTGCAGAGGACTCCTCTGGTTCTCGTGGTCTTGTCCCAATGGCCCGACAAGGTCACAGCAAAAGATCTGCCGCCCGCAGTTGATTTTGATATTCTAGGTGTTATCAAATGGCCAGAGTTTTGAGATCGCGGTGGACTTATAGGACTATAATGCAATATGAGCTCACTCAAGTACTGAGGAGCTAAACCACTCAGGGCTTCACAAGTAATTAGCAAGATTTTAAAATGTTTTCAATGTTCAATAGGAAGCCAGAGCAGTGTTGACAGAATCAGGCTAATATGGTCATAATTCCTGGTTCTAGTAAGAACTCTAGCTGCTGCATTTTGAACCAGCTGGAGTTTGTTTATTAAGCGTGCAGAACAACCACCCAATAAAGCATTACAATAATCTAACCTTGAGGTCATGAACGCATGAATGAACGTTTCTGCATTTGACATGTTTTGGCATGATTTAAATTAGATTTTTAAAATATTTTCCTTTTTTATTTTCCTTTTTTTTCCTTTTCTTTTTTTTTTTGTCATTAATTTAACTTTTACGAAAATGTTTGTTCTGGTTTGTGACATCTTCCGTTGCTGTTTTACAGGATGGCAGCACAGCTCTCTCCATAGCACTGGAGGCCAGTCAGAATGACATTGCCGTGCTTCTGTATGCGCACCTCAATTTTGCAAAGCCGCCTTCCCCTGTGAGTGTGCTTGCTCTCTTGTCACCTAATAGCCCAAATTAACAAATGTCAACAAACAGCTGCTACATCCAGTATTCTGTTACTCTACCCTGTGAATGGAGTCACCGAGTTTCTCCTTTTCCACAGGTGTCACCAAAGTCTCCAATTCTGGGATCTTCTCCGCCCTCTTCTGAACGAAAGTAAATGGATGTCATGAATCTGATGTCACCTCCTCCAGCAAACGATCCTTATCCATTCCAATGTCTGTGTGTGAGTTTTTGTGTGTTTGTGTACATGTGTATGTATACCCACAAGTTAGCATGTAAAACTTTTAGAAATATACAAATTGTGCACTCTTCAAAGAATTAGCACTTGACACCATTGGTCCTTGTATGTTGTTTTTAGCATTTTTCTGAACGAAAGTAAATGGATGTCATGAATCTGATGTCACCTCCTCCAGCAAACGATCCTTATCCATTCCAATGTCTGTGTGTGAGTTTTTGTGTGTTTGTGTACATGTGTACAGTATGTATACCCACAAGTTAGCATGTAAAACTTTTAGAAATATACAAATTGTGCACTCTTCAAAGAATTAGCACTTGACACCATTGGTCCTTGTATGTTGTTTTTAGCATTTTCCATTGTAGCAAAGAAAAAAGGGGTGAGATTCAAGTAAGAATAACAACAAGCGTGTAACAGCAATATCATTCATCTAGCAGTCCATTTGTTAAAGAAGCCAGTTTATATAAGTGCATTTACTTTTAACAATCCAGCAATATTTAGCATTCAATTCATCCAGTTATAGTCATACAGCAACTGATTACATTTATCAGAGCATTGTGTAAACAACTAAAAAAAGGTATTTTAATCAAGTGTCCTTTCAAGGTTTTTCTATTCTCAGTCTACTAAGAAAAACACCTTCTGAGTTTCCACACCAGCTGTTTTCAGAACAACGTTTGATAGCCTTTACATAGTGATTTTCAACAGTATATTTGATTATACTGTGCAGGGGTCTCGCCCTACAATGGGAAACATAGTGGTGCAGTTACTTCTCTAGGAGATTTGTAATGCTGTCTTTTACAGGTAATACACTTATGCTGATATTTTAGCATTTTTACTGAATGAATTCACATTATGAGATGTCATCCTGCTTTCGATAGTGTTTATATTCAATTTGTGGGTTTGTGTAAATTATCTGGCTGTACAGGTTCTCATTATCCTACTGGACAGCATTGCCACCACAGCTTTGTTCACAGCCAGTGCAGTGTTATGGTCTCTTGAGAATGTACTTTGTTTACTCTGATTTGTGGACTGCCTGGTTTTGTCATTTTTGTTAATGTAAAAACTTGTGTTGAAGGTTTATTGAACAAGGGCTCTCCAAAGACAAAGAAAAATGAGTTTTCCAGAGCTAATAATTTTTTTTTTTATCTCAGTTTTCTTGCATATTGCCAGTTGCAATCAGCCAGACGAGAGAAGGAAATATGAAGGTACAAAAGTTTCTTGTTGGATGAGACCAGATGTTGTCTAGCGAGTCGGGTATATGTCATATGCACATATTGGTACTGGCATGTGTTCACCGAGCACTGATTGATTTAGTTTCTTTTTACTCAGTCGCTGGTGGTTTTAGGGTCCAGAATGTGGGGGAAAGGCTCGGTATTGTCTATGAAGAATGTAAAATGGTTTCCAAAATGAAAATAATATATATCATCTCCAAAGTTTTAGTGCAAAGACTATAGAATTTTTGTAGCTTTTTTTTACAACACAAGATGTTGGATTTTAAATGGAAGAGCTTTGTTTCATTTGAAAGATAGATTGAAATTTGTGGTTTACCCACTTTGTACACATGCTTTCTTATAACTAGTTTAGTACCTAATTAGTTTTATACGGTTTTGTATTCGTTTTATTTAACACACTTTGAATATCTTTACATTTGTAATATCTGTTCACAGCTTTGTATATCTTTTGGCACATTTGCTGGCCATGAACCTTTATGTAAAGTGCTCACATTTAAATTTGTCTGTTTGTTTGTTTTATATATATATTTTTTTTATTCAGTGGCGGAAACGGGCTTCCATAGAAACGGGCTTCCATACATAGGCCTACATTCATAAGCTTTACCAATATTTATTAGTAATATGAACTTATTTCCTCTAAACCTTTGTAAAATACTCCACAACCATATGATAACTTCATTTATTTTCGATGTTTTAATACGATATTGCTTACATTTAAGCTCATTTAACAGACATTTTAGAATTAAAATATGATACATTTACGAGTAATTCAAGTGTAATCAACCAGTCCACCTTGTGCCGGAGCCGGGCTCGAGTTCGGCAAACCTAACGCTTCATTAATATGCTAGTCTATAATAGGCCTACTGCCAGCCTCTTCACAAATGCATGCTTGAAAGCATTCTATTACTGCAATGTACAAATCATAGTCTGTTTCCCCTCACATTTGGTCAGTGTCCAGTCATTTAGTTTCGACTGAAACGTGTGAGGTGTTTTTCCATTCGCTTACGAAATCAGCATATAGCCTAGTTCTTATTTAAGTTCATATTTATTTGAGTAGCCTATTTGTTTTCATGACAAAACACTGATATTCCATTTTTAACGTGTTGCAGGTACCAGATCAACCCAAAAGACCTAGCAGCTCGTTACACTTCACGGGTAGGAATCAAAGAATGTCCTTCTTAATGAAGCCTTGGAGGGCTCTCTGTCATTGTTCTGTCTCTAGAGTTTGAATAATAAATAGGCCTACATGTGTTTTAAGTGTTTTATTATTGCATTTTAATTGTCGGGAAACTACCTTGCCTTGCATTCAGTTTTTCAACAATGCTTTGATTTGTTCTTTAAATAGCAAATACACAGTTATTAATTGTTTATGGTGGGGTATTACAAATTAACCGGTGTACAGTACAGGTATGCAATCAAGCACACAATGAAGTACTCACAAACAATAAATAAACACATCATGTGTAACTTTTGAGTCGAGACCTTATCATGGCTTCTTGTTGCCTATTTAGTGTTCAGGAAGGGTGGGGAAATTAGACATAGAGGCTACTGTGCCAAGACTGCAAGAGATTCAAGTTTTCTTATCTGGTTAACCATTCATACTGCCTGACATAGCACCTCTCTGCATCAGCACTGACTTTTAACTGCACGCAAAATGGAACCGACCGTCTGTCACCGTATCCTCCGAACTGCAGGTTTTTATTTATTTATTTATTTATTTACATGTACGAGCACAGCATATTATTGACATTTTATTTTTATTTTTTATTTTCATTTGAGATAACCATGAAATGTCAGAGCCTGCGTTTGCTTTTCGTTCTAAATAAATATGTCTAATGATTGAGTCGGATTTATATAAACATGGCCAATCTGTTTAGGTTGGCCCCTGAGCTCTTCACAGTATATCAATATCGTTTCAGCAGTAAGCCTGCTTTGGGGATTTTCTGGCTATGTTTGTTATTATGGCAGCAGCTGAGAGTGCCGGATATAGGAGCGGACAGGTTGTGTGTGGCGCTGTCCAGTGCTGAAACCAGCAAGTCGTCGCTAAAAGGTTCTCCAAGTAAAATATTTCCCTTTTTAAGCTAGGCTTCCAAACGCAAAGTGTTCATTTCAAATTCAGATGATCCCTATAGTTAATAATATGAACAGGCATCTAAGAATGAGTACAACGAAATTGCATGCAATGCAAACATCAATAACAGAACAACACTGATCAGAATTGTTTTGGGTTTTATTAATTGGAAGATGCACCATACACATTTCTGTGAAGCTTTTCAAAACCAAATGTTCAGTCAATGGTACTATTTTCCAAGTGCAGAGACTACAACTGCCAGAAACTTCTGCCATGCTGTTTGAATGTCCGGGGTGAGGCACGACCGAGCTGGGAAGCCAAAACAATGGTCACGCAGTCACCGAGGAGCTTTGAGGAGAAAATTACAAGGTGATCAGAATTTCACATATACACTATAAAAAAATAAACGTTATAATAAAGCAGAGTAATTTCTAAGGGTATAAAAAAACGACCATTGTCAAGTGAGAATCGAGCATATTGTACAAACAAGAGTACATATATTTTCAACTAAGTGGGAAAACAAATCTTAAACAATGGATCGTAAACTCTCAGTTTTGTACTTCTCTGAGAGCTTTTGCTTTCAAGTTTTTACTTTTAGGTGTCGTTTCCAAATGTCTTACCGCTACAATATTTTTTAAAAAGCTGCTGAACTGTGCGCTCCATAATAGTCGCTCATTATAAGTTGCAGTATTCTGTAGTTTTGCAGTAACCTCGAAAATTAAAACAAAAAGTACAACAAAATGTATATAGTATCGCCTTATGGTATTCATTAATTTAATAATGATATTATTAAATTAATCGACTTCCATTGAATGAATTGCTAATTAATTTGAATAAGTGGATGTAAAAAAGAAAAAAAGAAAGTATGTAATGAGAAAAAAAGTGGAACATTTTGGCAATCTTGCACAGTCTGATAAGTCATCTTTGGGGGTGAGAGGAGGGTCTTGGGTGTATCTTCCTGATGGCAGTATAAAACTGTCAGTCCTCTTGTCAGAAGCCTACAGAAGTTTGCTGAAAATTCATCCTTCCACGATGAGTCTCTCTGCCAAAGACAAAGCTGCCGTCAGAGACCTTTGGGCCAAAATCTCAGGAAAGGCTGATGACATTGGTCAGGATGCTCTTTCTAGGTAAGGTTATTAAGGGTGCGTTGTAATATGCTACGTCATAATGTTTTCTTCGGGCATATACAGTATATCTGTAATTCAATTCACTGTCTGTCTAGGATGTTGGTGGTCTACCCCCAGACCAAAACCTATTTCTCTCACTGGAAAGACCTGAGCCCCGGCTCTGCCCCAGTGAGGAAGCACGGGAAGACTGTGATGAGCGGCGTCGCTGAGGCTGTCAGCAAAATCGATGACCTTACCTCTGGGCTCCTGAACCTCAGCGAGCTTCATGCTTTCCAGCTGCGTGTTGACCCCGCCAATTTCAAGGTAAGTGCAACGAAATTCACCTTTAGTCAACTCCGCTTCTATCATACTCTCCTAGTCACGGTAAACTTTTGTTTCGTTTTTCCATAGATTCTGTCCCATAACATCCTCGTGGTCCTGGCCATTCTGTTCCCCACTGATTTCACCCCAGAGGCCCATGTTGCTATGGACAAGTTCCTCAGTGCTTTGTCTCTGGCTCTGTCTGAGAAGTACAGATAAGCGCATGTTACTGTCTTTGAGTCGTACCGCGTCAGACCAGATGGATGCCTGTATAAACATTGTCTTATGATGCAATAAATGATTATGAAAATCATTTACTAATCGTCTGTTTTTGCAAGTCATAAACCTGTCAGTGTTTATTTGTCAGTAAATTATGTTTCTT